TCCTTCTGATGTGGGGGACACCAGAACTGCACACAGTGGGGTCTCACCAGAGCAGAGCAGAGGGGCAGGATCACCTCCTTCAAGCTGCTGCTCACGCTTCTGTGGATGCAGCCCAGCACACGGGTGGCTTCTGGGCTCCGGCACACACTGAAGCCGGCTCATGTTCAGCTTCTCACCAACCCACAAGGATAATGTCCTGCCTAGTGTTTGCTCACCCCAACCTGCACCCAGCCCTGTGGTTACAGGTGGCCGCAAACAGCAGGGAGGTGAAGCCCCTGAGAGGGGGACAGGGTGGGAGTCCCTGCAGGGGGACCACAGGTAGGACTCCACAAGCCCTGACCCTGACGGTGGCTCTTGTCCCCTCTCGCCGCAGTGTGTTTCCTCTGGCCAGCACACCCCGAGTGAGACCTTCAAGATAGCTGACAGCCACCCGGAGGTGCAGGACCGCGTGGAGCCCCTCTCCCCCACCAAGAGCCCCCTGTTCCACAACAAGCACCGCTACCAGAAGATCGGGGTGCACGAGGTCTCTGCGGGCGACGGGCGCCACTACAACGTGCTTTATCTGGCAACAGGTACTGGGAAGCTTTCCCTAAGGAGTTCCCTGGAGCTTGCTTTCCCCTCGAGAGCAGAGGATCCAAGGAAATCAGATGAGACCCCTAGTGCAGAGCGAAGCGAGGGGCTGCGTTCCCAGCTTGGCATATGTTTGTCAAGCAGGAAAGAGCTGCCAAGTCCCAGCACAGCTCAGTACACACAAATTTGGCTCCATAGGCAAAGGCTGAAAGCAGCATCCCAGCATGTGGGATTTACCCACTTGGGCTGCTTCAAGCCCATGGTACATCTCAGGCCAAGTGTTTTAGGGCAAGGGATGGGGGGCCATAACACAGCCCTCCCCATGTGTCAAGCAGAAATCCTTTGCAAAGGGACCCACTCCATCACCTCTTGTCCCTGTTTGCTCTAGTGCAGCAGCACAAGCTTCCTGTGAGGCCAGCACCTCTGGTTGGAAACACAGCCAGCTCATTCCAGCTGCTGGTGGTCCCAGGGCAGCTGGAGATGCTGCAGAGCTGGGACAAGCCAATTCAGCTGCAGGTGAATGGGATGGCGAGCAAAACATGGGTGAGCTGCCTGGGCTCGCATGCAGTGCAGCTACTTGCTGCATGGAAGACACAGAGGTCCCTCTCATGCCTCCCAGGGCTTGATCCCTACAGCTGTGTCACCCCTTTTGCTGCTCTGTGCTGGGCTTTTTTCACTGGCACTTGTGGAGGGACTTTCTGGGGCTTTTGTTTCCTAATCTGTGATTAAAACAAATGCAGACAGCTCGCAGTGGGTGGCCTGGCTTGGATTAGGGCCCACACATGCTTGGATTGGTTTGATCTTGCTAAAAGTTGTAGTTTCAATGCAGCTAATGCCTCGCAGAGCAGTCAGGAAGCTTGCTCCAAGGTGCCGAGCTTGGCTGCCCACCCTTGCTGCAGGCATGGAGGTACCTGGGCGGTCCTAATCCCTGCCTGACCCAGGGTCACATCTTCTACCTCCCCCTGGTTGGTGGTGGAGAAGGGAGTGACTCCTTGGGAAGGGGATCCAGGCTAAAAGAGGGCAAACAGTGAAGACTCCTGAGCCCTGTTCCCTCAGGATCTGCCTTCCCAGCCCTCCGCCAAACTGACTTTTCCTAAGCCACCAGTTTGGAGTCAGTTAACTGGGTTGGGGAGTCAGTTTAATCAGAACAGAGAGGCAGAACTCCAAGTTTCAGCCTCAGGCAAGTGAAGAGATGATGCTTGTGCAGGAACAGGCTGAGGATCAAAGCAGAGGAGCTCGAGACCTGTTGGGTTTTCATGCTGAGGCTGCTCCAAGCAAGCACAGCCAGGTCCAAAGGGCGAGGAGAAACAGGCTTCACGTGGCTGGGAGGATTACAAAGGTGACAAGGCTGAGCTGTGGGAAACAGAGCAAAGCAGGCTCCTTCTCAGAAAGGTCCTGTCTTCTCTGGGTGGCTGGTTAGAGGAACCCAGTCAAGCCTCGTGCTGTGGGATGGGAGCTGTTTGCCACAGTGAGGGCTGGAGGCACTGCTGGTTCTCTGCCTGGCTTCCCCACAGCCCCTCTGCCTTGCCTCTCTGCTCTCAGCGTGCTTCATCAGGGCTCTCCCCTCTTTCTTTCCAGACAAAGGATCCATCCACAAGATCGTGGAGCTGCCAGATGGGGTGCAGAACATCATGGAGCTCCAGGTCTTCCCAAAGAAGGACCCAATCCAGTCCATGATCCTGGACCACAAGAGGGTGGGTTTCTCTGTAGAAAGGTCGGGCTGTAGCTTTAAAAGCAGGCACCAGAGGAGGCAGGGACAGAGGTTTAAGGACAACCCATGGATGTGAAGTAGCCTTGGGGGGGGGTTGTGGGAGGCCCTGCAACTGCTTTGCTAATGGCTGGGCTGATGTCCCCAGTTCTAGTGGTCAGTGGGCACCTCCTCTCCTCCAGAGGCGTGGGAAGGATTAGGCTGTTTGCTCCCTGGGCCAAATCCTGCAGTTTCCCTCTCATTGTCCAGCCTTGCTGGTGGATGAGCTGTGAGGCAGCGCTGGTGCTCATCCCAGAGGTGACAACACTGCTGTCACTTCATGGAGCAAACTTAGTTATCCCCAGGGCTGGTGGGAAAAGGATGCTGCTTCCCCTCCCTGGGGGGGGGACTGCATTGCCTGGAGACCTACCAGCCCCACTGGTGAAATCGTAGAATCCCAGCCTGGTTTGGGTTGGACGGGACCTTAAAGCTCATCCAGCTCCAACCCTCTGCCATGGGCAGGGACACCTTCCACTAGAGCAGGTTGCTCCAAGCCCCTGTGTCCAACCTGGCCTTGAACACTGCCAGGGATGGGGCAGCCACAGCTTCTCTGGGCACCCTGTGCCAGCGCCTCAGCACCCCAGTCTCACAGCCAAGCTGCAGGAGAAGTGCTGGTCACTGCTAAGGTGGCACTGGGGCACCGGGACGATGAACCCCTCTGCTTTCCTCCTGCAGGCGATGCTGTACGTGGGCTCGACAGACAGAGTCCTGGAGGTGCCCATGGACATGTGCAGGGTGTATCGCAACAACTGTGACAGCTGCCTGCTGGCCAGGGACCCGTACTGCGGGTGGCTCAACGGCTCCTGCCAGTCGGGGGATCTGAACCGGGCCGTGAGGGCGGTACGTGATGCCATCGGCTTGTGTCTGCTTCTTTCCATGTGAGAAATGCCCAGGCTCAGTATCCCCCTGCCTGGCACATGGTTTTGAGGTCATCTTCCTGTCACAGACACAGGTGAACCCATGGTGTCCGCACTGTAAAAGCACACACGCATGTGTGTGCTGTCCCAAAAGCCACCCCTTCCACAGCACCCTGCTCTGGAGAGGGAGAGGTCAGTGGGCTTTGAGCACCCAGCCCCTCTTTTGCTGTTAGAAGTGTGCACAGGCCTGCTGGTTGTGATGTTGTTGATCGTGGTGACTTGCTGGGTCTCACATTTGTCATTCACCACCCTCGTGAGTTGTGTGTTTGTCCCTACCCAGGTAACATCAGGCGTTTAAACACTTCTTCCTTACCTAATCTACTGCATCTTGCATGGGCAGTTCCTTCCCTAGCCCTGAAGTGCTGCTCCCCTGACATTAATGCTTGTTCCCATCTCCCAGGGACGTGCGTCAGAACCTGAACCTGGACCCATGGCAAGGGAAGTGCCAGAAGGGGGATATTAAGGAAGGTATGTGAAGGTTTTGAGCTGTAAGCTGTGAATCCAGGGGGTGTTTTGGGGCAAGAGGACTGATTCTGGAGTCTTTGTATGTTCTGCAAGGTGTAACAACTCATTGCAAGGGAACTGGGAATGACCATGCTGAAGCCAGGACACCTCCAAGCCGCAGCTTGGAGTTAACTGCTAGATAATGTGGTTTTGAGCTGCTGTTTGCTGCTGTCCTGGGAGAAGAGACTTCAGGCGTGGGTCAGGCCCTGCTGTTGTCATTCAGTGGCTGTATAACATGTCCCCATTGACTCAACTGTTCTTCCCTCCAGGCTTGTGGGAGAATCTGCGTTTCCATGTCTCACCCCCTTCTTCTCAATCTCTTCCAGCAGGTGACTATCAGAACATCACAGTCGTCCCTTTCTCCCGCTACTACCTCAACTGTCCCATCGAGTCCCACTATGCCACCTACAACTGGTACCACAACAACAGCCTCATCAAGACCTGCAACACCACCCACCCCCAGCAGGACTGCTTCCACTTCATCCAGAACGTGAGCCACGTCCACTACGGCCACTACGTCTGCATCTCGGAGGAGGACGGCTTCAAGCAGGCTCTGGTGAAGGAGCGCCTGGTCAACCAGCTCAGGTTCATGTCCCAGAAGGGCCAGGCCACCATGACCTTCGCCTCCTGGCTGCAGCTGTTCCTGATGGTGGTGTTGGTGGAGCTCTTCCACTGACCACGATGGGGCTGTGTTCCCACCATCCTGGCTGCTGCTGCTGCTCCTGCACTTGCTGTCTGCTCCTGAAGTGACTTCTTTTAGTCACTCCTTGGACATTAATCTTTGACTGTCCCCACAGGGGTCTTGGGCAGCATCCTCTCCATCTTTGGCCTTGGTGGAGGAGGCATGGTGAGGAAGATGGGACTTCAGGGCCAGATGGAGCAGGGTTTGGGGTCAGGGAGGGAAGGGAACACGCGGGGGACGTTCACTGTACCCAGCAGCATGGTGTCAGCCTCCCCGCTGTGGACATTCAGGGGACTTCTGCCAATGTGCATGCACTGATCCTCAGGGCACGATGACTCCTCTCTTTAGGAACGTGCATGTGATGAAGAAGAGGAGCCAGCCCTTGGCCTTTGGAACTGGTTGATCTATGCTTCACTCCAAGTGGGGACTGATGCCTCCCATTTTTTGTGGCTAATGTCTGTTAGGGTTGGAGGCAGCGGGAACACTCTCAGTGTCGCATGTGAATCCCCTTCTGGTCTGGAGACTTGGGCTCTGGAAAGGTTTGAGGGTATGATTTCATTTGATTTCTGTTTTGCAGCTGGCTTTGATGTGGAAGGGAGATTGGGAACTCGCACTGGAAACCTGCAAGGCAAAGGCAAGGCCCAGAGCGAGCATTTTGCATGGAAAAGCCTGGGAAGATGACTAGATTTGGGGTGTGGGGAAGGACAGACCGAAGGGGACAGGAAGGGAAGGTGGAAGCAGAGCCCAAACCAAACCCAGGAGGCCCTGGGAAGGAGTTTGAAACGCACAAATCCTCTGCAGGCAGCTTAAGGGCTGGAAACCTGCAAGGCAAAGGCAAGGCCCAGAGCGAGCATTTTGCATGGAAAAGCCTGGGAAGATGACTAGATTTGGGGTGTGGGGAAGGACAGACCGAAGGGGACAGGAAGGGAAGGTGGAAGCAGAGCCCAAACCAAACCCAGGAGGCCCTGGGAAGGAGTTTGAAACGCACAAATCCTCTGCAGGCAGCTTAAGGGCATTTATGTGTGGGCAGCAGGCAGCGCCTGC